TCAACATTCGGAACCTAACAATGCTAAAGTTACTCCAAGAGTAATTCAATTTTCATACGTTATTATAACAACAGCCATTTTTTGTTAATCTGCATTAATATTTTTTTTCATTTACATTATTACAATTTTCACGGAGGAACTCTATAAACATCCATCATAAAACATATAACAAAACTAAATTTTTTACGAGAAATTAATAAAGGCAACATTATACCAAAAAAAAAAAAATCATTGTCAAAATCAGCGTCTGATCGACAAACAAATCATAACCCAAATCACATAACACCCAGAACATAATTTTTCTCTCTAGCATAATTTTTCTCTCCCTCTTTCTCTATGTGTGTGTGTGTGTATCTGCATGCATATATAGTTCATTAAAAAATAAAAACATTGTTCTGCCTCATCAAATTTTTTTACATACACGGAGTAACATAGGGAATAAATTATCCAGAAAGAACCAGACAGCGGCAGGCGAACCGCAGCCCTCCATAGAAGGTAAAAATGAGATAAAGTTAAGTAAGGATTCCGTGAAAAAATTTAAAATATTAAAACATCACGTAACGAAAGTGGGCTGTGTTTTATGCTCGCCTCGCCCATAAAAAATGAATAAAAAGATATGCTTTGGGAAGCATATATAGAAACACACACACACACAAACAAACAAACATCTCCACAAACAACCACACAAACATTACAGACAACAAACACACACATGCATTGGTTTGGTGCAGACGTGTTGTTCTAGCTCTAAAACTATTACACACACACACACACGCACACACACACATATATATATAATATTTATCTTTGTATATAAAATTGTACGTATAAAATTCTAGAAAGGCGCGTGTAAATGTGTGTGCTTGAGTAGACCAGTGCAGTTGTTAAGCAGAGGCAAGCGAAATAATAAGATGTTAGGTGCAGTGAAGTAACAATAGCAACAACTAACAATGCCATCACTTTTGAATCTTTTGTTGGCCACCAAATAGTGCAGGCGAGTTCAGAAAGTTAGGACAAGTTAGGGGACGACGCATGGCTCAGGATAACAAAATCGTCACCAACGTCACAAGACTTCATGAAAAATCATGCGACAATGAAAATATTATGAAAGAAATTAAACAATAAGAAATTCATAAACTAAACAATTTCTACAGTAATTGTGTAACAAAACATCAAAAACATAAAAACATCCTATTTTGTAAGTTCGAACTGGCTCATCTAATCAGAAAACAAAACCAACTCAAAGATCTGTCATATTAATTGCTTCTTTTATGGGCTGCCTCCCCAAAACCACACAAGACACATTGCAACACAACACAACACGCTATCAGACGCCACATTTTTCAACGCAACACAATAGCAACATGACTCATCAACAAAACATTCATTCTACAACGAAACACATGCAACGAAAAGCAACAGCTTTGGGTGTAATAAGGCAACCTAACTCACTAGCTCAAAAGTTATTGCAATCATCTACTGCTACATGTTGACAAAATTCGCTTCATTTACAACAATTTGTATTTTTAGTTTTTGGTATTTAAACGTTAAACTATACATGGAAGTTTTAAAACGAGTATCTAAAACAGAAGAGAACGATAGGAGCTAAGGCCGGAACCACAGCAATTGTTTAACGTTAACGGGAGCATAAGGCGAAGAAACAGACAATGACTATAAAAATGAACAACAAAAAATAGCAGCAACAACACGTAATAAAGAAAAATAACAACAATGAAATAACATCACAAACAGCAGACTGGCAGAGAACTTTTGTTTGGTAGCAAACAATGCAAGGTAAGTTGGTATACGGTGCTGTCATGTCATTCGTTATCCACCGAGCTTTACAATGCAACACAATACAACAATACAGATTATTCAATAAAGAAAAATAATATATAAATATGTCATGTCAATATATGTAAAAAACATACATACAAACATACACACATACATACATATATACATACAAACAAATACATAAGTATATTTCTTCTAATAATATAATACATATACATATATATATATAATATATTATATATATAATATTTACAGTACATACAAACACATACTTAAACTTTCATACAGATATGACGCTGGACGCTTACAACATTCACAATTCTTTATATTCATTCGAAATTATCGTCCTATTCACACCAATCTAGCCAGGACACAAAGTAACTAACCATCTAACTATCTCATGGTGTTTTACTTTGCCTGACATACAGCACAACAAACAACTGCAACACTATCTAGTTTAGAAAATGTAATAAGAACAATAATAAAATAATAATAAAACAATAAAAACAACAGCAACAAAAAAAACTAAAAAAAAAAGAATCTCTAAATCTCTACAAACGTCATCACCGTCAGCATCATCATTATCAATATATCATAATCATTCTCATCCCAGCCATAAGCCACTAACTTAATAATAGTAATAAGAATAGTAATAATAATAATAATAATAATAACTTTGATAAACTTTAAACTCTGCATGTGCCATCAGTAAGATGAACTCGTCCATCACAAAAATTTCGCCAATCAGACAAATACCGTGAAAGTTGCACGTTCAAATAGCAAGTCAAGAGAAGATGAATTAACACGCAACAACACACAACAACAGTTAACGACACGACAAAAAACACACAACAAACACACAACAACAAACACACAACAACAAACACACAACAATGAACTCGCAGCAATAAATATACAACATGTGAGCTACTAATTACATAAGCCTATTTCATTATTCTACAACAAAACAACAACACACACATCACGCCACATAACTTCAACCACTTATTGCAGTATACACACACAACAACAACATGAAAAATCACACTCATGCACAGCCACACAACACACACGCACAACACACGCACGCACAACAACAAATCAATTAAGTTTGAACTCTTCAAGTTCGTTCAATTTCCCATCTTCCTCTTCCCAATCAACGATTGCAAGAATGAATAGAAAAAATTTCTAATAAATTTCGATTTCTGAATTGTATAACCTTCAAAGGAAAAGTGCAGTTGGGTGGGTTTGAAGTAAAAAATCAAATGCTGTGCGGGCTGAAGTGAGTGAGTACGGTGCATGGGAAAGGGGTGCACCTTCTCACAAGTTGCCCCGCTGGGTTGCCACCAAGTGTTCCATTCAGGCCTCACCACTCGTTAATTAATTCGCTTTTTTTGTCCCATAATTAGCTATTTTTTTATTAATTCATTTTTCATCCGATTGTATGCATTTTTGTGGGATACTCGCTTATATCTTCTAGACGTTAATAACCATTCCCCACCACCTCCATCATCATCATCATCAACATCATCATCTTGATAACATCATCACCATCATCTTTTAACGTCATCATGGTCATCTTGTTAACATCATCGTCATCATCTTGTTAGCATTATCACCATCATCATTGTCTTCCTCATAATCAATAACATCTATCATCATTACAACAAGTATATTCATTGAACGTACGTACATGAACCAACCGTGCATAAAATGCTAAAGAGTGATCGTGATGTGATGGTGATGTTAACTAGTAATCATGCTTAATCATGTAATGTTAATTAGTAATCATGGTTAATCATGTAATGTTAATTAGTAATCATGGTTAATCATGTAATGTTAATTAGTAATCATGCTTAATCATGTAATGTTAATTAGTAATCATGGTTAATCATGTAATGTTAATTAGTAATCATAAGTCATTAATAATGTAATGTTAATTAAGAACCATACGTCATTAATAATGTGATGTTAATTAGTAATCACACGTCATTAATAATGTTATGTTAATTAGTAATCATATATCATTACAAATGTTATGTTAATTAGTAAATGTGCATAACAATGTTATGCTAATTTGTGATCACACATAGTGGTGTCTTGATGTTAATACGTCACATGAGAAATGTGTTGCTTTGATGATGTCATCTTTTAATGTCATCAGTCCTAACAAACCGCTCGATTCACTCAGTGCGATAGAACTTATTTTAAATGCTGAATTTCAGGCTAATGATTTTGTATCTTGTGCGTTGTATATTAATTTTTTCATTTATCATGTTTCTCTACAGCTCTAAGCCACACGTTTTTATAAAACGTTTAAAAAATTTCAAGACCCAACATTTTATATTTTGTAAAGTTGCAGAAGCTTTCATCGTTCAAAGAAAGCAAGAAAATCTTAACAAGAGATTTCTTCAATGTGGTTGTTTAATTGATGGAAATTGTATCATAAACAACATGGAGAATGTTCATTCATACAATGGTATACTTACTTATGTTGTATTGATGTGTATGTTTAAACATCTTAATACAATTATATTGCTTGTATCTGCCTTTGCTGTGTTTATTAATGTGGATATTGTTGAAAGATGTTACCTCAGGTTAATGTGCAATGTAAATGCATGGTATTAACAACAATAAAACAAATTTCATCGTTAAATAATTTGCAATTGGTGAAAAATTTTGATCTAACAAATTTATAAAATTCATTTAAATTTATAAAGTATAAATACGTATGTATATAGATAACGCAAATTAAATTACTGCTAAATAATAATTTTACTACTATAAGATAATATTGAAATTTTTTTAATTTAGAAAGGTATCGAAAGAACTGACCTTTGACAACATCACGAGTGAACCAACGAACCAAAAGAGTGCAAGTTATAACCGCACGAAATATTTAATGCAACTTTATTAGAAAATTCAATGGAGTGTACCAACTGCAACTATCTGATATCTCCAAGCAGTTAAATGACCAGTACAAAACAAAGTACTATAATTTTAAACCATTTGATCTTAGTGCACATATATATATTTATCTATTCAATTCTAGAAAGTTGTAATAAACTATATTAAAAATACACAAGTACCAAGTGAGGTGAAGTACAAAATACAATACAAGCGTACATATATGTATCTATATATCAAACGAAGATACAACTAGCAAGGAAATGAATACACGAGTTTAAAGGAAACTAACTAACCGGCATGGTTTGGCTCCCATGTAACGAATTGATAGCAGATAATGCCTCTGATGCGCTTGAATATTTCACAAAGGCGCAACCTGTATGTATGTATGTATGTATGTATGTATGTATGTATGTATGTATGTATGTATGTATGTATGTATGTATGTATGTATGTATGTATGTATATATGTTTGTTTGTTTAAATATATATGAACATATGGAATAATGGTTGTCTTGAGCAATGTATATATTCATCAATATTTGCATTGAAGAGTTTAAATATATATATATATATACATAAATTTATATACATTCATATATACATATATATATATATGATTATATATATATACATAAATATATATACATTCATATATATATATATATATATATATATATGAATGTATATATATTTATGTATATATATATATATTTTGGTGTAGTAGAGAGAGAGAGAGAGAGAGAGAGAGAGAGAAAGGCGGTTAACAAAAGAAAATGGAATAACCTGAAAATAGCAAAATAGTAACAATTGAAATGTATTTGTGGCATGCAAACACATGCACCTATATGATGAGTGTATGTATATACATATATATTGTTTATATATTTATGAACAATAATAAACTTGTTCGCTTATAAATATGTAATGTATAGTATATATAAACTTACATACAACACTATATATATATATATATATATATATATATATATATATATGTGCAAATTTTTATATATACATGGGCGTGATCTGTATATTAGGTATGCAGTTTTGTATTGATTGCATGTGATATGCATTGGTAATGTAAAGAAGCAAGCATGCAAACTAATTGTTCCATGTCACATATATGTATATATATATACATATAAACATATATATATATATGAAACATATAAATATATGAATAAATATAAGTCTCTATGAATAAATATAAGTCTCTTCTCAATCCACATCTCACTGATTTTATTATAAACATATGTGCACAAAAATGAATGGATTAGTAAATATTCATTCAAGTGTTCTTTAGATAGTTTTTGTATTCTTCCCCTGGCTATTTGGACTTGAAGTCAGAGTTTCAGCTGCGACCTTCCTATCAGATTGAAACTAATTGAACGCGAGATTCCGTGATGGTTTAATTACCGAGAAACACTTGTATCCATTTCTTCTTCTCTGACATTGGCTGGGATTGAATGATGTTAAAAAAGTTTCCTCAACAAAAGTTTATACCAAACCAATTTTTCACTTCTATTTGCGAACTCCTCAATCTATTCTCTTGATCTCAAAACTGCTTTACAGATTGAAAAGATCTATGCCGAAACAACCAGAGATGAACTGCAAGTAATAAGCAAACAAACAAACAAACAAACAAATAAAAAAACATACAAGTATGTGTGTGTGTGTGTGCGTTCAGCAGGAACGAGCAATAACGAATGTTTAATTAAAAACTGCATGATTGTGTTAGGTTAGGTTGTGTGTGATTGCTATGTGTGTGCAATGCCTGCGTGAGAAAAATACCCGTATGTGTGTGCGCGCTCACAAATTTTACAGCCGATGCATTTGTAGTGACGACCGAATTCAGCATCGCTACTGCTGAAGTACTTTCTTCTGATCATCAGCTCCTGTTTGTGCTGCCTTCAGCATTTGGTCAAGATCCTTCAAAAAAGTTTCAGACATCGGTACTGTGGAAATTTCTTTATCAGCCAAAGTTCAACACCTACAGCAACTCGCAAAGTTTGATGTGGTACCTGCTGGTGGTCGTGAGAGAACTTCAGTTGCTACTGACGGACGAGTTTGTTAAACAGTGGCTTGTTTGTTGATGAAAGCTGAAGTTTATGATTGAAGTGATCGGGAGAAAGAGTTGGGTGTTTACGACGACGGTAGTAAATTTCAAATGAAATGAGTGAAAGTTGTGACATTTAAAAAAGACAAATTTCATAAAATTTAGCTTTTTGATTGCTAATAATTAAATTAAAAATAATAATTAGTTAAATAATAATTACTGGTATGATAGGTGTTACGGGCAAAGTATGGTGAAAGTTTCAGATGCATACAATATACTATTCAACTTGAACAAAATTCCAATAGATTATAAAAAATTTGGAGTTTTTGTTAAAAAACACCAGTAAAAGTTGAAACTTCGTTTACGAGCTATATTTCATTTTCAATGAAATACTTCAATGCACACAAGTTTGTTTGTGTAATATAAATTACCTTTGCTGAAGTTGTTTATGCTTTATACAAAGTTTTACGTCATATGGGGAAGTGGCTTGGCTTCTACGCTAAGTGATTCCAAGTTTCGCGACCAACCCAACTTTGAAACACCAAACATTAGCGTCGTCAGTTTTAAAGTGTCGGATAAAGATAAAAAAATAACAGAAAACAAGAGAATACGACAAAGGTTTATGATTCTCTCTATATAAATCATTAAATTTGTATAACATCAACATTCTAATCATTAGATATGTATAGTAGTAGCGTTGTAAGTGTATTGAAAGACAAGAAAGGATTTTATTGGGTCTGAAATAAGTTTTTCATTCGTCATTGCAGTTGCAATCCTGTGAATAACGCAACATGAAAAAATGGGGAACCATCTAAGC